TCATTAGGGACATATGAAAAGACATGCAGTCTAAATAATGCAAGACAAAATTAAACATTTTAAAGCTTCATGGGGAGACTTTAAAGAACCACCCATTTCTTCTTTCATCTCAAAGTAGTTGATGGGGCATCTATGTTGAGCCAGGCACCATTCCAAAAACTGAAGATGCAGCAGTGAATGAAACAGACCCAGTCTCTGTCTTCACAGTCAAGCAGGAATTTTAAGAGCTGGTTTGCTAATGTCGATCCTACACTATTTTAGCGTCTGAGACTTTGGGTTTGACAAACAGGTCGTCCTGTCCCTAGGAAGGTGACCTCTGATATTAGAATAGAGGCAGTGTTTCAGTTTCTCACACACTGGCTGAAATAGCTCACGACACCAGCCTTTGCTTCAAATCCCCATTCATCAAAGCAGTCTGTTGTTAATATATGCTTGTAGATATCTCCATCATAGCAAAGAAAGCCATAAAGAAGGGATGGGGAGTTATTCTCTAACTACATGGTTTATTGCCACATGGAATGAGTAAACTCATCCTCGCCTTACTCGTGGCCTTTTTGAGTGTGGTTCATCTTCACTGCTGTGACAAGACCAACTCAGGATAAATAGGTAAAGTCTTGGTTAACTTGCAAAGCAGAGGCCCAGATGCCATCGGTGGTGATCAAGAGGTTCACCTTAGAAAACAGACATGATGTCAGACAGCATCAAACCACTGATCACAACCTAGCCCTCCACTCCTGTCCACTCTTTCTCACTCCTTAAGGGCAGCATACTGTCGAGTGTTTAACATACTTTCTCATACACGCTCCAAATTTCCAACAAGCCTGTGGGGCTATCCTAACTCCCATTTCATGGATGAGAAAATCAAACTTCAAAAGTAACTTAGCCTCCCACAGCTGCCAGCACAAAGCCAACATTCAAACCTAGACTTTCAGGCTCCAAACCAACGCTCTTTCCATTATCCCATACCCAGCAGCTTTTACATTTTCAGTTCTTCTTTGTGTTGTTTCAACTCTTTCTGGTGGGAAACTGTCTTACAACCTGCTGGTTTTCTCCAGGACCTCTGGAGGCAGCCATGGATCAATGACTCAGAGCAGGGCTTGCCCCTCCTCCCCATGTTTCGGGTCTCCTAACCAGATTGCCACCCACAAGCCTCCCCTGCCTCCTACATAAGAATCCTGTCAGTTCTATGGGTGCCCGTGGACGTATTTTTAAAAATAGGGGGAAGCACGTGGGTGGTACACATCGAGGTTTTCCAGGAATCTATTAATATTTTTTGCTGAGGACATCCAGAATTTTAACTTGACCGATTTCAAGATAAATTACCTCCTTAGGGAGACATCCTTCCCCTGCTTTTCCCTTCAACACTCCCCTCCCCCAGGATGGATTTGTTTTCTGGATTTTGTTGTTGTTGTTTTACCGCCTGGGGCTTCTCCGTATCACCTGGTGCTGGGGCTCAAAGGCAGAGATATTAATAGCTAGAAGCAGCCACAGCTGATTTCTCTCTCAAGCAGGATGAGGAGAAATCAGAACTAGTTCTCCTTGACCTCTGTAGGAACTGCTGATGCTCCTTAAGGTCTTTATGCAGAAAGGCATCTGTATGCAGAAAGGGACTACCATTTTAAATGTAAAAATTTCCGAGGATTGATCCTACTTTATCAAAACCTTCTGGGTGTCTAATTTTATTCTTGTGTGCACAGACTACTATTTTAAGAGTGGTAGAATCATCATATATACACAGAGAAACTGAAGGAAATAAATATGAGATTAAAATATGTAAAAAATTAAAATATATATAACTAAAGTCTGTATTTGGGAACATAATTTTGTCATTTATGTTTAAAAAAATAACCACATCATCTCTGTTTCAACATTTTTTTTTTTTTGCTTTACTAGGACAATGGTGATAAAAATTCAAATGCTAAAAATAAATATGCTTTTGAGATTAACATAATATTGGGAGTATATTACAAATCCTAATGTATTAAAAGGAAACAATTACTTGATTATGTCATAACTAAAAACAAAAATATTGAACAAAAGCAATAATAACGTGCATAGACTGAAATACCTTCCGTTTCAAAATTAGTGATAACATTCCTTTCCAAATCGGTAGCTTCCCAGTATAAGCTACACCACGTTGTATAAAGATACAACACATCATTAGCCATGCATGTTCAAGTACCTTCTTAATAATAAACTACACAGGAAACTCAGTAAGTTTTGGCCCAGGTTCTGACTTGTTTCTTTTTTACTTTCTCAACCCAAGCTCTCTAGTATGTACTAGGAATTATTGCCTCTTTTAATCAGAGGAGAATTTTAAAAAGAGAACGAGTTTGCTTCTCTATGAGCTCTGCAGTGGTTTGCCATAGGCACTTGTAGTCTGGAAGAGTCTTTTCCAATCTGAGTAGCCCTTCTACAAAAAGAAATTTCTCTCCCAAGGGGTTATAAAACCAACTGTGTTCCAAATGAAATCATAAGGAAAGGATCTGCCATTTTCCCCTCCAATTAAGCGGGACACATTTAGTCTTGTTGAAAGTCAATTATTTTTATAGATGCAACAAATTCTTGGGCGAGGGCCACACCCTCTATAACTCTATGTGAATCTAGAGATCAGGACCTGCTGCATTGCAAGCTAAGAGATGATTTAGTAAACAAGAAAAACCTCAAAGAACCTCTGCTTCCCCATCCTCCTGCTGGTCCTTTCTGATAGCAGCAGCACGACTCTCGTTTCACCCACCCACACCCCTCCGGGTCTCATAAAGCTAGACATTTCATTCTCCCACTGCCTTTGTGACTTCCTACCATTGCCTGGACCTTGAGGCAGCAGTGGAAGAAGATCTAGCATTGCAGTAAGAATTTTAGGAGTAGACCCCGCTGGAGGAAAGTCCCATGGCCCGCTGGGCTCAGCTCAGCACCCCCACTGCCTGGCTGCCTTGTGGGAATAAACAGACAAATTGGGAGGGGAAAAAAAGAATTTTAGGAGGAAGCAAAGCTGACACAGGCTGGGCCTCCCATTTGCTGGACGCACAAGTTCTTGCTCATAATTACCAAGCCCAAAACCCATGGTAAGAAAGACAAGCCATGGCTATCTTTCCACTCACATAAACACAAAGCAAATATTAAGCATTATTTTTTTGTTCTCTGTCCAGTTTCACATACAGCTTTAAATAATGCCCAGATGGTCATATAATAAGGACACATATTTTTTCCTCATTGGATTGTCTGTGTATAGACTTGGTAACAAAATTTTTAAAGGCTCGTTTTTGTTTTAATTGTACTGCAGCTCTCAAGCCTCTCAAAAAGACACACATGCAATTTAAGAATTTAGGAATATCTAGATAATTGTAAAAGCTGTATCTGACTCCCCAAGGATCATAGGAAAATCACTGAAAGCTGTAGGTCCTCTCATTCCTGGGACCCTCACCCCATATGACCTTGTTTGTAGATAGTCCCAGGGGCCAGAGCCCTGAGTTAGTCTAAGACCCTATGTCAGCCCTGTCTCTAGTGGCCCTACATCAGACCTTACACCTGGCCAAGCCAACTGGCTCCATGGGGGCCTCTGATGAGCAAAAGGGATTGATCCCATTCAAACTCAGAGGCCTTGGGTAGAACTGACTTTCACTGGAAATGTGGAGTTGGCACTTAGTTCATTCTGTCAGTATCCATATGAGGAAGACAGAAAACTGACAAGGACAGACACAGTGGCTCATGCCTGTAATCTCAGCACTTTGGGAGGCTGAGGCGGGCAGTTCACTTGAGGTCAGAAGTTTAAGACCAGCTGACCAACATGGTGAAGCCCCGTCCCTACTAAAAATACAATTAGCTGGGCATGGTGGTGTGTGCTTGTAATTCCAGCTACTCAGGAGGCTGAGGTACAAGAATCTCTTAAACCCAGGAAGCGGAGGTTGCAGTGAGCTTAGATTGTGCCACTGCACTCGAGCCTGGGCGACAGAGCAAGACTCCATCATCAAAAAAAAAAAAAAAAAAAAAAAAAGAAAGAAAGAAAAAGAAAACTGGTAAGGAGAAATGTGAAAACACAACACTTGGTTCAGACTCTGGTCCTACCACTGGCTCTTTCAGACATGCCCATGTCCCATGGCATGTATCAGCAGGGGACATGTCAGGCACCACAGGAGTCACCAAGGCTGCCCTTTACTTTGACACGTACCTGAAAGGAGAGACCCATGTGCAGCCTTATTTCACATAATGAAGGAATATTTCATCCCAGATTTCTTCAGGCTGAAGACTGGAATGTATATATTGCCAAGATAACTTTATAACATTGAGATACTCAAAATGCTTTTTAAAATCATGTTAATGTCATTCACTCCCTGTGCCTTAGTAGCACACCTTACTCAGAGTGGATACTCAGAAACAATTAGGTCTGAGTTGAGCCTTAACATCCCTTTTTCTATGAGGCCTTGAACATTCTCATTTTCCAGTAGCAAAGGCCCAAGCAAGGGAGTAGCAGTGAAAATTGGTTGCCTTACAGAAAAAAAAAAAAAAGACCCTAAAAATCACTTTCCAATCACCATTAGTAGATGCAATTACACCTCAGATTGAACAGCTGCGGCAGAACAAGTCCGGTCTTCACTCCTTCAGCGAGTACCTGTGTCACTTGAGAATGTCATTTCATTTATCTAGACCTTGGTACCCTCATCTTAAATGGAGACAGTGGCCAGATGAGTTCTCGGGTTTCTTCCCAAACTAGTCCACACCCCCTCCTACCATCACCCCTTGTGGTTTTGTGGCGGGATTTACACTGGAGCCTAATTTGATTCAGCCCTAGGGTCACCCCAACAGGCCAGTGCTATCCATATTGATAACGGAAGATAGAAAGGTGATATTTTGAACAGCCCTAGGATAAATGAGGATCCATATTAAGCAAGTATTACTCTTCACAAATCAGTACTGATAAATAGCCAAAACCCTTAAGGGAAAAGAGGATTTAAAACAAAACAAAACCAAAACACAAAAGTTTCTTTCTCTTTAAAGGAAAATTGCCAAGGATGCAGAAGGAAATGAAGATGATCAAAGATGAGGATGTGCATTTCAACTTGGCTGTGAAGAAGACCCCCTCCTTTCCCCACTGCCTGCAGCCAGTGGCTTCTCGGGTGAAGGCTCCCCAACGACACCCCTTCCCAGAAGCTCTCCGAGGACCCTTTTCCCAGTTTCGGTATGAACCTCCTCCAGGAGACCTAGATGGGTTCCCTGGGGTCTTCGAAGGAGGGGGGTCTAGGAAACGGAAGAGCATGCCCACCAAGATGCCCTATAACCACCCTACAGAAGAAGCCAGCCTCGCCCTCCACTCCGAGGAGAACAAAAACCGCGGCCTTCCCGACCTCCCTTTGCTGTTCCCGCAGCCCCCGCGCCCAAAGTATGACTCTCAGATGATCGACCTGTGCAACGCAGGCTTCCAGTTCTACCGCAGCCTGGGACACCTGGGGGCCAAGCCCGTCAAGCAGGAGCCCATTAAGCCCAGCGCCATGTGGCCCCAGCCGACGCCCGCTCCATTCCTGCCCGCGCCCTACCCCTACTACCCCAAACTCCACCCGGGCCTCATGTTCCCCTTCTTCGTGCCCTCGTCCTCGCCCTTCCCCTTCGGCCGGCACGCCTTCCTGCCCAAGCAGCCCCCGGAACCTCTGCTGCCCCGGAAAGCCGAGCCCCAGGAGAGCGAGGAGACCAAGCAGAAAGTGGAGAGGGTGGATGTGAACGTGCAGATCGACGACAGCTACTACGTGGACGTGGGCGGCGCGCAGAAGCGCTGGCAGTGCCCCACCTGCGAGAAGTCCTACACCTCCAAGTACAACCTGGTCACCCACATCCTGGGCCACAGCGGGATCAAGCCGCACGCGTGCACGCACTGTGGGAAGCTCTTCAAGCAGCTCAGCCACCTGCACACCCACATGCTGACCCACCAGGGCACGCGGCCCCACAAGTGCCAGGTGTGCCACAAGGCCTTCACCCAGACCAGCCACCTGAAGCGCCACATGATGCAGCACAGCGAGGTGAAGCCGCACAACTGCCGCGTGTGCGGCCGCGGCTTCGCCTACCCCAGCGAGCTCAAGGCCCACGAGGCCAAGCACGCCAGCGGGCGCGAGAACATCTGTGTGGAGTGCGGCCTCGACTTCCCCACCCTGGCCCAGCTGAAGAGACACCTCACCACGCACCGGGGCCCCATCCAGTACAACTGCTCCGAGTGCGACAAGACCTTCCAGTACCCGAGCCAGCTGCAGAACCACATGATGAAGCACAAGGACATCCGGCCCTACATCTGCTCCGAGTGCGGCATGGAGTTCGTGCAGCCGCACCACCTCAAGCAGCACTCGCTCACCCACAAGGTACCACGGGCCCCGGGCAGAGCGGGGCGGGGTGGCGGGGTCTGGGGAAGAGGAGCAGGGGCCCTGAGCAGACCCCTGGGGAGCCGGCTGGGGCCTGTCCTGCTCCGCACCTGACCCTGAGGAGCTGGGCAACCCCAGATAAGCGGTCCCTTGGCCAAGCCCTGAGGTCCTTCCTCACGTTTAAATAGGAAAGAACGATTTTCAACCAAGCCCTTTCCCGGCCCTACCAGCCTCCTAGACCCTAAGGTAGGCCTAGAAATAAATAATGCAGACATTTGCAGAGAAGGATGAGGAAGGATGCTCCCTACCCTACAAGAATCTTGTGGATTCTATTTCTAGAAACTTCATCCAGGGCACTAGCATGAGTGTGTCCTCAGACCCTAGATCAGCTCTGTGCCTGGGATGTGCCAGGGAGCACCTTCTTCTAGAGAATTCTCTTTGTCTTCTACTGTTGAAGCAGTGGGAAACAATCTTTTGGGTTGTTTTCTCCCTCAATGGTGAGACCTGCTTCACACACAAGCTCTCCAAGGGAAGCAGAGCTCAGCGAGGCCAGCAGGGCCTATGCTTCCCTGTGTTGATCCTGTGCCTAGTTGAGTGAAGTGCCCTGTGCTTTATATTGCAGGAGGCGTGAGAAAGTGTCCTTCTCTGTTTGGTTTTGTTTGATCTTCCCTGTGCTCAGGTCCTCAAGGGGAAATACAGGCCCAAGAGTCTAAGCTTAGCCCAGTTGCAACCATAGCCCTGGAGTCACTCAGGCTAACTAAAACAAGGCCCTAGTGATGTCCCTGAAATCTTACCCCAGCTAAGCCATTGGAACCTGCTTTGAGCCTCTGAGAGGAAGTTTTGCCCTCACTGACTCCTGCTCTCACACCCTTAAACTCAAGTGATTTTCTTGGCAGGAAAGACTTCTAGCAAGCCAGAGTTACTAAAGCACTCTTTAATTCTGAAAGGTCAGCAGAGGACTTTGCCCAGCCAAGATAATGTTTCTGCTGTGCTAGAATAGGTTTCACTTGTTAGGGTGGGACAAAACACAGCATTTTCTGGCTCCGCAGCAGAGATGAAATGTGTGGCTGCCTTGTGGGCTCTGCACAAACAGCTCCTGGCCTACAGGAGGCACCTGCAGATGCCATCCAGAGGGGAGTGCCTGCCAAGCGCAGGAACCGTCAGCAGAGGACCCAGACTGAGACTCAGCCGCAGAGGGGACCATTCACTAACTTCAGGGGCTCCTGTATTTGTGGAAAAGGAATCAAAAGTGCGTTTTAGAGTATATAAAGATCCTGTAAGATGGTAGAAAATGAAGTCAAGGCTGGGTGTAATCCTAGCACTTCGGGAGGCCAAGGCAGGCGGATCATGAGGTCAGGAGTTCAAAACTAGGGTGGCCAACACCGCGAAAATCCCATCTCTACTAAAAATGCAAAAATTAGCCAGGTGAGGCGGCGGGCGCCTGTAATCCCAGCTACTTGGGAAGCCGAGGCAGGAGAATCGCTTAAATCTGGAAGGCAGAGGTTGCGGTGAGCCAACAGTTTCCTTTGCTGCCTCAAAGTTGTGTCCAGGCTCCTGTCCATTTGCACGCTAGGCCAGCCCACAGGTGAATCTTACTTTGGTCACAGAATTCTCTTTAAAGAATTCTGAAAACAGTGATAAGTAGAAACTTCTCCTTGGTTTAAGGACAAATGGATCAGAGCCAAGCCCAGAGGAAATCTAAAATATGCTAAAATATAATATAAAACCCATTAAGAAAATTTTTTTCATTAATTTTATAATTTTAAACTCAGTGTTGGAATATGCACTACATTTAAAAAATTCATCTCCTTAGGCAGAATCAAACTTTAATTTCTAAAGGAGGTTGATTTCTAGGTCTCCTTATTAGCATAAATGCATACTCATGTACCATCATCTGGACTAGACAGTGCTTGAGTTAGAAAGCATTTAGGGTTCTCATGCCCCACCACTTCATCTTGAGATGAGAAGACTTCACTAAAAAAGGCCACAGGACTCATCTAAGGTTTTACAACCAGTAAATAGTTGGGCAGAGACCTGAATCTACCCTTTAATACGATGGGCCCGTCGGAACTGCAGAGTGGTAATTTCTTACCATGCCTCAAAGTAAAGAAACAGAAATATAGGTAAAGAGTCAGAGATGAGCTTGGAATCCCTCCTTCCCTCCTTCAGCCACTATGAATATCAGGGAATATGGATTTCATTAGGTAGAGTTGTTAACTAAGTAACTTGTTCTAATCCTATGATAACCTTCAGTTTCGCGCCCACGTTCTCTAAACTTTTCTTTCCAAAAGTCATTCTGGCTCAAGACCTCTTGCAAAGGCCTTTGCAGAGAAATGATGGATAGTCAGGATTCGCTGTGGGTCCCTGGAAATGCTCTCAATTAAGGGCCTTAGTTCAAACACACCTTCATGCACAGCAAGGAGACAAGAAAGCCTCCTGTCCTGCTTCCTAATTCAGAAAGCTAACTCCTGCCAAATTTCCTTATAAGGAGGAGCTGGCTTAGGGGAGGCTCCATATCCATGTCATGTGGTGGTCAGTGTGGCCTGTGGGAACTCAGGGGACCAACTTGAGAGGGTGATTATCAAGTTGTAATTTACTGAAGTGTGGATATAAGTTGTTCTGGGATTTTCGAGTCTATTAATGAGAACCCAAGAGAACACTGGTTTCCATCAGGGAAATGAAAACATCAGTTTAGAAGATTTTATTTTTTCATTATCATGAAAGCCGGATTATAGATTCATGTTGCATATCAGCCCACAGTGCTCTTACCAAAAGCCTGTTAATCCTCAAGAACTATCACTGGAGACTTAGCCCCAGCAGCAGCTGGAGCAAAGAAAGCGAAAGCTTTCTTTTCCTCCAATAATCTGGCTAGTTTATGGTTTTCAGTAGGAAAAAAAAAAAAGATTACATAATCAACACTTTTCAAGAAAATAGTAATTTAACAAGACTGAAGCTACATTATTTGAAACTCAGCATCTATCACCAAGCTCTTTGTGGGTTTATGTGGCAGACAGGAACATGAAGGCTGTGATCCTGATGAAAGCACGTTACCTGTCAATCACCACTTTTCTGAATCTTGCCTTCCCGCAGGGTGTGAAGGAGCACAAGTGTGGGATTTGCGGGCGGGAGTTCACCCTGCTGGCCAACATGAAGCGACACGTGCTGATCCACACCAACATCCGTGCCTACCAGTGTCACCTCTGCTACAAGAGCTTCGTCCAGAAGCAGACCCTAAAGGCACACATGATCGTCCACTCTGACGTGAAGCCTTTCAAATGCAAGGTGGGCAGTGGGACCAGGAAGGAACCAGAGAGCTGTGCAAATGCCTGATGGGAAAGGGTCCCCAGGGAGCCTTCTACTCTGTTTCATCAGTGGGGCTACGAGGGCTCAGAATAGGGCCATGGCCAACCCCAGGTCCCATCTGCCGCTCTGTCCCTCCGTACACCCCACTTACCTCACGCCAGGCTGGAGGTCCCTAAGGAGCCTGCCCTGTTTGTCTCACTGTGGCATCAGTGCCCAGGGGTGGAGCCAGGCGCTACGGAAAGGTCTGAGGGTGGAAGGCCCTTTTGGAGAAGGAGGCTGTTAAAGGAGGAAGGTGATATGGAGAGCCTTCGTTCTAGAAAGGAGAGAGCAGGTTTAACCTTCTTCCCCTTACAAGGCAATGAGCAGGGCATAGGAAAGAGTCAGAGAAGCTTCTAGCACAGCCTCCCCGCCTTCTCCTCCTCTCCCCTCCTTGCCTCTTGACTGCAGGGCTGAGCCATACGTGTACTTTGAGGCAGGCCTCCCACAGAGGATGAGAAGGCTTCCAAAGCTGGCCCCTCCGAGGCCTTCAGAAATGCCTGCTCAGGCTGTGGAGTAACTGTGAGCACCGTCACTTCAGGTGTCTTTCATCTATTGCTAAGTGCCATGTACCCCAGGGATGGAGCGTCTTTGTTAAAATGTCCGTGTTAGGCTAATTTGGTTGGATTTGTATTTCATCAGCTGAGAAAATGTGTGAGCTGGAGTTTGTAAAGCCAGAAGCTCTGACAGGCATTACTCAGAAATGCTTCGGCCCCCTGAGGCTGTCCCTACCCCACACCAGTGTTTTCTTTCTCTACTTCTAAAATGACAAGAAAACACTGAACATGACTGGGTTTAATTCAAGTGATGTATTGGCCAGGTGTCATCTGGCCACGAAGACGGCTGAGGGGGGAAGAAGAGGGAAATCACCACATTCAGGTATCATTAGAGCCCTTCTGTTTGAAATGAAGGTTTTCTCTCTCCGCTACTGCGTGCCTAGTGGAGTTTAAATGATACTTTCTGCTGATCCATATTCCTGAAGTGGGGTTCCCTGCTTCCAGGGGCTGTTCCTGCTTTAATCCCTCTGCATGTGGCCCCACTTGAAGGAATCCCCTGTGAAGCTGACTTTTTTCCTGTGTTGGCAACTCTTGGAAGGGGTGAGGGGTCAGACACCAGAGCTTCCCTAGACCTGTGTGGGCAATGTCCGGAGGTGATAGAGGGAGGCTTCTCCCTCCAGCCCTTTTCCTGCCACCCACTTCTGTTTCCCCTCCTTTTCTTCACAGTTTCCAGTGGTTCGAAAGTCAATTTATATCTGTCTAAAGTGGGAGTAAGCTGTATGCAGGACAGGCTACATAATTTTCAGGACCCAAGGCAAAATGGAAATGCAAGACTCCTTGTTCAAACATTACTGGGAGTTTCAAGATGGTGAAAGCAGGGCATTAAGCCAGACTCAGGACCTTTCTGATGGTGGCACCCTGTGTCGTATGCCCATGAAGTGAGGCCTGGCTGCATGAGCCCATGGGCTCCACGGGCCTCCTCTTCTCTCTCTTTGATTTCCTTCCCACTTCACTGAGCCCCTAGAGCACGTCACATGTAACAGAGCTGCTTCTTCTTGCAAAGGGTTTTACTGCCTCCTACAATGGAGGGACAAGTAGGTCTCTTTGCCATTCTTCATTCCTTGTGATGAGTTTACTCTTGGGCTTCAAGCATGAACTGAATTTTTTAGCTCATCAACTGATGGTGGTGGAGTAAAGTTGCTAAAATATGAAGGGAGCCAGTTACATAGTTTACAGTATCCTGAAAATTCACATCTGTCCCATTCAGTCCATCTCCTACCTCCACCTCATCAATTCTTGTCCAGTAGTAATGGTAAAACCAGGCAGAAAATGTTCCTGAAATATAGGATTATGTCAGGGGACAAAGCCAGTGTAGGTTATGTGTGGTTTGAGGGCACCGGCATGTTCTGCTTTCTGTACCCTCAGGGGCTTGGAGGACTTCTGGGACCAGGTAGTGTCTGAGGATCTAGAGGGTTCTCGCTAGTATCAGTGCACAAGAGACTACAAGATGCTATGTAACTTGGGCCCAACTTGATGTTTAGGGGCTCCCTTTTATGAACGATGGCTCCTTCTGCCTCCACTCCGATGATGGTGCACAGTACATGGTCCAAAGGGTGTCTGATGGTCAGGTTTACAGTTCAGAAACTCTGTTTTACCCATTTCTTGAGGTTAGATTAGGCTCCATGTCTGGTCCACACCACCAGAACCCATAAGAGAGTGGTTTATAAAGTAAGATGCCAGCTTTGAAACAATGCACAGCTTAAATTTTACAATGGGAGAGATGGGCCTGGCACAGGAATTGGACTGGCCATTTGCAAAGGCTTGCTTCTTCCTGGTGGTAAGACCTCTCCGGAGACCACACTAGAGGTCAGGAGGCTCGCTACAGAGTTTTGTTTATCGTCAGACAAAACTAATTGGCTGTGAAAGGACCTTCTTGTCAAACAATGGAGAAAGTGGGCCTTCTCCATACTTAGCCATTTGTGAAACAAGAATCAGTGTTAGCCACGTCAACTCAGAGCCCTCTCTCTCTGAGACAGTGCTAAAAGCATAAGCCAGGGCCTCCCTCTCCCTGTCCCCATCTCCCATCAGTGTCACCCTCCTGGGTGCCCTCTTTGTACCATCACCCTTCTTCCTTCCAACAGACTTGCAGAGCTCGCCTGTGTTTGCAGATGACATCACAAGGCTCTCTGTGTTTGTAAACTAGATCCAGGTCACACTGTGGGGTGAGCCATCTCAAGGTGCTGTCTGGATTCTTACTTCCCAGCTGTGCTATGCTAGATTCTTGGAAATTTGGCCTTGGGAGAAGGTTGTTAGGATTTGGGAGTTGAGAGAGGGATGGAGGGCCATTTGCCCATTGCCATACAGTTCCCAGCCATCTGAGAGAAATGGCTGGCTGGCTGCTCGGTGGTGTTGGACTACAAGCCCAGGCAAGTTCAAGGCAACTGGACTTGCGCTTTGCTGCTGTAACAGGGAAGAGCCACCCACTTCATGCCTTGTGATTGACATGGCTGGGCAGAAGAGGCACCCTTCACTCTCTCCCCTTTACCCAAAAAATCACAGCAAGGAAGAGGCTTTTAGTAACAGATTCTAATTTCTTGGGATTCTTACCATTAAAATTCCTTCTTAACATAAATCCTTCCTCCTGTCTCAGTATGAACTGATCTTGTCGGGCCTTGTGCTAGGTGGAAACAGCTGTCCCTAGCAAGCAGAAATGTTCTCTCACTGTGGGATTAGGCATTAACAATGGGATGGAAAATTAGAGGAGAGGAGAGGTTTCCATTTCATGTTTCTTTTTTTTTTTTTTTTTCTTATAAAAAAGTTACTGCCCTTCTGGGCTCTTTTGCTATTGGCTAGACTTCTGGACTCGTGTTTCTTGGAGCCAGCTGGAGTTTTTCCAGAGACCTGCGCCTGTAGACTTAAGCCACTTTTCAGAAATACGCTTCCCAGATTCTGGGTAAGCACACGGAGGTTGATTTGGATCCTATCCTTGTAGTGACCACACTCCGTAACAGCAAAGAACCAGCTGCCGTCTTTGGGAAACCTGTCCAGGAAAAGCAGCCATCCAGAATTTCCGGGACAAATTCTCTTTTGAGATGGGTGAAGCCGGGAGCTGCCTAAGTTATGAATCACCAGGTCATCTGAAACCTTGTCTGCAGCAGAAGGCTGAAGGCCAGAGGGCAGAGCTGTCAAAAGAGGGATAAAATCTCCCTGGAGAGGGTCTCCACCACTGTTGTCAAACTGACTCCATTTTGCCCCTCACTTTATTTGACGCTCCAAGAAGTAAGAAACCAGATGGGGGGCTTTGAGGGGCCCGGTGCTTGGGGTCAGGGTTTTCAGGCTGGCATGGAGGGGGTTAAGGCAGTGACCAGATAGCAGGCTTTTGGCAGTAAAGCCCTCCTCAGCAGAAGGAAGGATATAGCTGTATGAACTGCCTGCTTAACAATGCCTCACATGTCCCCAGGGGCCCGCCTGCAAATAGATTTCATCTTGCTTTCTCTTGTACTTTTCAAAGCTTCCTGTTTTCTCACGGTCCTTTTGGACAGTTTACAGTCTCTCTCTCCCTCCCTCCCTCTTTCTCCCTTTGAGAAAAGGAACACCCTTCTTATTAAAAGAGAGAGAGGGAGAAGAATGTGCGGGAAGGGCAGTTTCACGGAGGCCATTCTCCTCAGCTGCAGGCTGCAGCTCTGACCTCTCCTCTTTGAATAGGAAAACACAGGCTTCCTGGCGCATCTCAGTTCTGAAGCTCACAGCAGGCTGGTTGGGGTGAGGTAGTATGCTGCTCTGGCTCCAGCCCAGTGGCTGCCCGCTGCCATCCCCCTGGATCTCTGACCAGAGCCAGCTTCTCCATGGCTGTCAGCATGGCCACTGGAGTTCATGGCAAGGACCCGAGGTGCCTCCAGGCCCTGGACCAGGAGGACAGTGCCAGGAGGCCAGGATGAGGAGGCCCGGAGCACAAAGGCATCTGCCAGCTGTTCAAAGGGCAGACTAGGGATGGGGGAGCCAAATCACTGGGCTGTCTCCAACCCCTGAACCTTGGATGAAGCCTTTCTTTCCATCCTTATTTCTCAGACCTGGGGCGGGTACAACTATTTGCATTTCTTTTTTTTTTTTTTTTTTTTTTTTTTTAGACGGAGTTTCGCTCTTGTTACCCAGGCTGGAGTGCAATGGCACGATCTCGGCTCACCGCAACCTCCGCCTCCTGGGTTCAGGCAATTCTCCTGCCTCAGCCTCCTAAGTAGCTGGGATTACAGGCACGTGCCACCATGCCCAGCTAATTTTTTATATTTTTAGTAGAGACGGGGTTTCACCATGTTGACCAGGATGGTCTCGATCTCTCGACCTCGTGATCCACCCACCTCGGCCTCCCAAAGTGCTGGGATTACAGGCTTGAGCCACCGCGCCCGGCAACTATTTGCATTTCTACTACACTTCAAGTAGCCTGGCGGGTATTTACTCAGTGGATGCCTCATTTGGCTCTTCCTTTAATATTCCCCTCATCTTCAAAGAGCTTTCCATTTCTGTAATGTAAGAGTCTACTATATACACAAGAATGAGAGTAAAACGAGCTAATATTTATTGAGCTCTTACTATTTGCCAAGCCCTTCTTGTGAGTTATCTCACTTGATCCTTACAACAACCTTCATAGGAAACAATGATTATTATCAATGTTATACAGAAGAAAAAGTGGAACAAGCTCTCTGTCCTTCTGTGTCTTCACCTCCTCTCCCTACTCTGACATCTCAAAGCCTAATAACTCATGCAACCCATTTTTAAAGGGCCCTTTAAAATACTTGTTTCCATTTTTCATTAAATTTTGAGGTCCACCTCCATCTTAAAAAGCGGGTGGATGGAGAAGCTGAGATTTCATGTTGAGACACACTGATGGTGCTCCTTAGAGCCTCCGAGAGGTCAGGCAGGGGCACACTGGTGGAGATGCCCACTGCACAATGGGATCAGAGTCCTCACTACTCCAGCGGCTTCCTGAACCAACATCCACTCCTATTTTATTCTCCACAGACCTTGGCAGGCGACGATTCAGCAAGTCCTGCTTGGGCACACTCTTAGCTTCACATCGCATGATTTAAGAAGGCCTCAACTTAAACGGACTGCTCTTCCCTGGGGAAGAACCTAGAGATTCGGTGCTCCCTCCCATCCATCCTTCTTCCCCCTGCTCTAACTCTCCTCCCCTACTGTGCCAGTTCTGCTCGGGGCTCACATCTCAGACTCCTCCACCCAAAGCGCCGTGATTCACTGGTCCATCCTCTTTCTCCAGCTTCTCTTCACTAAGTGTCTGAGAGGTTTCTTTCTTGAGACAGACATAACATATCTCCATACACTTGGATATTTTCACATGAGGAACATCTTCTGAGAAAGATGAGGAGGCCAAGTGTTCTGGATAAGGACCAAAAGGCTTGGTGGCCGGTCCAAGTCTGAGAGGACGAAGCTAAGTACCTACCACCCAGACATGAATGGAGCCCAGGTATCTCAGGTCCTGGATTAACTGGCTCTATCCTTCTGCCACTGAGGAGTTTAGTTTGAAAACTGACAGGTTTAGTGGGAAAAGGATGCGAGCTGGTGATGGATGCTTTTTAAAATTTTGCATGAAGTAATGATATTTCCCTGACTTGTTTATTTCCCCCGCAGGCACTCATGAAGTGTACTGTGTGTGTAGCCCTGTAGCTTGATATTGAGTTGGCTACAAAGAAAAGGAAGTCAGCTCACTGGAGACTACCTGGGATGCTGTTTAGAGCCCAGACACCGTTATAATGCGCGCACATCTCTGTGCATGGAGCTGGGGAAGGGGAATAGGTGGGACCTTGGGGCAAGTGAATTGCAAGGTCTACACTGCCCCAACGTCCCAGAAGGTGTGGCAGCAGCAAGAAGTTGATCATTATCACAACCATAATGGTTACCTTACTTCTGCTGTAAGGTTGGCTGAAGTGTCTGAAAATAACTAATGAAGACACTTTATCTTTGTGTACGACAAAGTGCACTCTACACATTTTTTCACAGTGAGGCTAAAATTCCACCCCCTTTACAAAACCCTCTCAGACCAGTTCAGCTTCTAAGGCGTCAGCAACCACAGATAATCACTGAAAGAAGAATTTCTCTCATCATGGAGCCAAGTGTAGAAATTGCTTGTCACTTCTTTTCAATGACCTCTTTCTGGCCTGTAGGACCATGAGACCCAGTTCATGCCTGGACTAGTGCAGTAGCCTAATTGATCTTCTGGCCTTCAGCTTCTCTCCCCCTACATTCCTTGTACTTAACCACTCATGGCTTTTCCTTTGATCAGTTCTTCTGTGACGATGTTCTCTATGCCTTTCCTCACTCAGCAGATGCTGAATGAGGAGCTGTGATGTGTCACCCCAATACTAGGCAGGGAATAAATAAAAAAGCAGGCAAAGTTTTAGTGCATGTTGCAGTCTCCTGAGTGAGAACATATCTGAAGCAAATACTGGTTATACTCAGCATTTGTAACAGCAGCTTCACACCGAATAACCAGGAACCATCCCACAAACCAAATGAGATAGGCTTTTTCTAAAAATGACACATGACTGGAAATCTCTAATCTAGAATCTCTAGGTTCAAAGCTTCTTTTTGGCCTGGCATGGTGGCTCGTGCCTGTAATCCCAGCACTTCGGGATGCTGAGGTAGGCAGATCACTTGAGGTCAGGAGTTTGTGACCAGCCTGGCCAACATGGTGAAACCCCATCTCTACTAAAAATACAAAAATTACCCAGGCTCCTGTAATCCCAGATACTTGGGAGGCTGAGGCACGAGAATCACTTGAACTCAGGAGGTGGAGGCTGCAGTGAGCTAAAATGGTGCCACTGAACTCCAGCCTGGGCAACAGAGAAAGACTATGTCTCTAAAGAAAAATAGCTTTCAGCCATGATGGTGGAGAAGTGGGCAACTTAAGCTAATAAACATAACTCTAATAGAACTTTTACACATGTGCACAACTGAGCCACAGATTGATACATCTTAAGTTATCTCAATTGATAATACAACGGTCATCTATCCTACATATTGCTTCTCTTGAGAAAGTTGGAGTTAGACAAATTCTGTCATCCTTTTTCCTCTGAGGTCACCATTTTCAAATGAATATGGTGTGCAGGTGCTCTGTCTGGATGCTGAGCTTGGAACCCCACACAGTAGGCCAAATTCATTCATGCTAGTAAGAGAGAGCAAAGGTGGGGAATACTCAAACATGAATTACTCAAGAATACAGAGCCAGCCATTCATTAGCCATACATGGCTTACCTGTGGCAAATGCATAATCCCAGGCTGGCTTCCTCTTACTACCCAGCATTCTCCTAGGCTAAGCTCCCCGAATCATCATTTGAGAGGTCTACCTACTCTTTCAAGACAAGCTCAACACTCATCGCTCACAGCCAACTAAAGAAAATGCTGCCTTAATTAATAAAAATTTAATCCAGGATCCCCAACATTGGCCCTAAAAATATATCTCAGTGGGAAAGGAAAACTGGTGTAAGCCTCAGAGGATGCCTCACCCTGACTATCTCTGTATCTGACCACATATCACTGCCACAGATCCACTGGCCTCTGAGGTTGGGGAGGGAAAGAGAATGCTCCTCCCTTAACATTCTGGTCCAATCACAAACACAAAATCACTCTTTGCATTCCTCCTACCAAAGCTAAAGAAGGGCTGGAATTTCCCTGTTCTAGTAAGGTTTGGGGACAATAAAAGCACCCCCAGAGCAGTCTACTTCTGGCCTGCTGTTTCTGCATATACAAAATGACCTGTGAAAAGAAAGTTCTGCTCTTCTTCCAAAAGAAGTTGGCAGACCAGTGGTCCTTCACGTATTTGCACTTTGATGGAAATAAGAAGAATGATGAGAAAGAAAGGGTAAAACATGTTTATTTTTTGTACACCTGAGATAGCACTCTCACTACAAATTTCTACCCAGAGAAAAGACACACTTCTTCCTTGGAGGATTTTTCATTTCTTTTAACTTTGAATTCATACTAGTAATTAGAAAATAAAGCAATTGAAAAAGCATTGTCTGATACAGTTTATGTAATAATACAGTCTATTATTTTATTCTCTTCTGCCTGATACAGAAGAGTTGTGTCGGGAGACACACAGTATGGTCTGGTGGTTGACCATGTGGCCTCTGGCATCCGATAGCCTGAGTTCATTACCCCAGCTTCAGCACCCACTAGTTGTGTGCCTGGGCCAGGTGATGTAAGTCCTCAGATTGCCCATCCGTAAAATGGGGATGGCAACAGCATCCATCTCATACGATTGGTATGAGAATTAAAGAAGATAATCCATGGTAGACTCAGAACAATGCCTTCCGTATTGCATCATAATCATATTCTTATTATTAAAGGAAGAACACTGGTAGCCGCTGCTTTTCAGATCAGCTCTTTTCCTTTTCCAAAGCTTTTATTCAAAAGAAGCTTTACAAGCTTTGATATTTTTACTTTGAATTTAAAGATCTCTGAACTCCAGGAACAAATCTTATGAATCCATCCCTACTTGCTCCAACTCTAAGGCTCCTTCCTGATTTCCTTGGGGACGTTTTCCTTGCAAGCACATTAAAATGCCAAGGTCCACACAAAAAAGCGGTATCTGTGCTCCAGGGGCCTGGATGGGGCTTTACTCAGGCAGAGTAACCTGTGTTCTCATCCCCATCTTCAACAGCTATGCGGGAAGGAATTCAACCGGATGCACAACCTGATGGGCCACATGCACCTGCACTCGGACAGCAAACCCTTCAAGTGCCTCTATTGCCCGAGCAAATTCACCCTGAAGGGGAACCTGACGCGCCACATGAAAGTCAAGCACGGAGTCATGGAGCGGGGCCTTCATTCCCAAGGTAATCACTCTCCTGCGAAGCCCCGTGAGTCAGTCCATTGAAAAACAAATGGGAGCTGAATTCGTTTTATGGGGCATTACCTTGAGGGTTATTCTTGTCAAGACCGGAGCAGAGTAGCAGGAGTAGCCTTAATGATGTTACTAGAAAAAATCTGATGCTCATTTCTGAAGGTAGTAAGTACAGGTGAATTAGAGGACAATGGACCATCATCATGATGCAATTCGGTACCATTATTGGTTCCTTTGTTCCAGACACTACGTGAGATGTCTTGCCGCTAATATCCATGGCAACTCCAGATTGGAAGAACTTCTGTTATTTCTATTTTATAGTAGGGGAACGAAGGCTTCAAGAGATCGATTTGCCCAAAGTTGCTCTGCTGAAAAGCAGCAGAGTCAAGATTTGAACCTCAGCCTTTCTGACTCTGCAGCCTTTATTGTACGCACTTCATGGCATTGCTGTTAATAGGCACACAGTTTTTCTTTCCTTTTTAGAAAATAGATGAGCAAGCCCTACTGTTGGCAGAAGTGTGTTAGTAGCAGGCTAGGTCTTTCTAACTTGTTCATGACCAGACAAACCCAAGGACAATTTTGTGCTTGGGAGGTAGGGCTGATTGGCCCATATGCAGAGCAGGGGTTTACACCCTACTGAGTCCTCACTAAACTAATGAAAAGTTCCTATCGCCTTTACCTGCTCAGTCCCAGGGCCCTTGGCAATGAAGAGTTTGTGTTCTAGATCTACTGAATTCAGCAGGGTTGCTCCTTAATCACCTAATCGATCAGTCCTTCAATAAACAGGAAATAAATGCATCTGTGTCCAAAGCAGTGCACTACACGCAGAGGCAGATACAAGTGGAAGGAGACGGTCTGCCTTCTAGGATGTCTGTGCGTGGGGAGAGGAGACAGGTTTACATGTAATTTACAAAATCATATTAACAGCTTTTCGGTCACTAGTATGATCAAAGCACAGGGTGAGACACCTTAGGGACATTATTGCTTGTCCCCACAATGCCATGAGAGAGACTTTGTTATTCTCATTTTATGTAAGAGGAGACCAAGGCCTAGAGGCGTTAGATAAATTCCTCAAGGTCAAACAGCAAGTCTGAAGACAGAACTGGGATTCCCAGTTAATAATTTCTGAATCAAGCCAGTGCTCATTACCCTAGGCAGAAACATGGGGTAATTTGTTTGTGTGCTGTTTCACTCACCCACTTACAAAAGAGATGGTTGAGTGGGCATGTGTATTCATAAATAGATACACATATGCGCACACAGCGTGAAACAAAATGATTGTAGCTTTCAGGTTTTTCACAGTACCCACTGAGTTTCTAGTGATTCCTGGATGACAGGGAGCTGTGGTCACAACACAAGGCCTGGAGTTTATGCAAAATCCCTGAGAAACAACCTAGTTAAAACAAAAACAACTTTATTTTTCCTGCAAATGTTTTTCTCCTGCACTATTCACAAAATTTCTAGTTGCCTGAGCCACATCCCCAAACTAGGCCTGGATTTTTCCAGAAGAGGTGAGGTTTGCTCGGTCATCAGGATGCGTAACATACAAGTCAGTAAGACCACACTCCATCTGAAAGCACAGCACGACCTGGTTGCCATGACTTACCCCACACTGATGCTCAAATTCTAAAAGGCACCTAACAGCTCTGTGGTTCTGGAAAAATAACTATCAGAGAGTTGCTTTGAAAAATTTTAACAGACTTTCAACAATCTTGGTGTTTTCATCTACAAAGGGTATTAGCTTTTATTTTTCACTCTAGCTTTTGAAGTGGCTCAAAAATCATTAAAAAGATCTTTCCGGCCAGGCGCGGTGGCTCACGCCTGTAATCCCAGCACTTTGGAAGGCCGAGGTGGGTGAATCACGAGGTCGAGAGATCAAGACCATCCTGGTGAACATGGTGAAACCCCGTCTCTACTAAAAATACAAAAAATTAGCTGGGCATGGTGGCACGTGCCTGTAATCCCAGCTACTCAGGAGGCTGAGGCAGGAGAATTGCTTGAACCCAGGAGGCGAAGGTTGCGGTGAGCCGAGATCGTGCCATTGCACTCCGGCCTGGGTAACAAGAGCGAAACTCCGTCTCAAAAAAACGAAAACAAACAAACAAACAAAAAGATCTTTCCTGTCCCCTGATAAGATTAAAGATACAGAAAGCTTCATCACCTGACAGCACCATAAAGTGAGCAAAGTTGGACATCATCGCCTCTACCCCTCTTTTTTGTACACACCCCCCCCCCGCCTCCCCCCTGCTGCAGAAGCCTGGTATGGTTGCATCCTGGGTCCCCTCCCTTCCTGTTGCTTCTCCTCAGTGTCCAGCCCGTTCCTGGAGGCCTGACTACTGGCTCATCAAAGGCCAAGGCCTTAAAGATAGGATCAAATGAAACTGCCATGCTGAAAAGCCCATCCCTACAGCCCTGCAAACTAAAGCCAAAAGCGTGGTCTTCTCAGCAGGCACGGTGGCTCACCGAGAATCACTGAGAATCACTGTGGTGGATTACTTCTCGGTGTTGTGGTAATCCCAGCACTTTGGGAGGCTGAGGTGGGTGGATCACCTGAGGTCAGGAGTTGGAGATCAGCCTGACCAGCATGGAGAAACCCTGTCTCTACAAAAAAATTCAAAATCAGCCGGGTGTGGTGGCACATGCCTGTAATTCCAGCTACTCGGGAAGCTGAGGCAGGAGAATCGCTTGAACCCTGGCAGTGGAGGTTGCAGTGAGCCCAGTTTGCACCGCTGTCCTCCAGCCTGGGCGACAGAGAGAGAGTCCATCTGAAAAAAAATATGAGGCATTCTCGAATCACTGTGCCCAACAGCAGGGACACTCTTTGTCAGACACAGGGGCTGTGTGAACTCCTCAGAGGACCTCTGCATGCCATCTCTACCCTGTCTATGAGTAGGCTGTTGGCATAGGGCCCACAGTCATGGGGTGGTGTCTGCTGCCCCAAATGGGATCTCTTTGCTTTGTTCAAGGTGAAAATAGCTTTATTATCGATTTGCTTTTTTCTTATGATAAAACATACGCTCATGATTAAAAAAAACAACAGTAATAGATTAAAAGTTAAAAGAAAATGTTCATTGAGTTTAAGATTTTGACATACCCCCTTCCAGACATTTTTTTAAATAGAGATAGCTAGCTAGATATAATTAGGTCTGTACTATAAATAAATAAATATACCCACACATACATAATGTATATATTTTGTTTTTACTTAACATACATAGCCAATATCTTTTTATGATCATTAGTAGATCTCTACATCACCTATACGTGGTTCACTATATGGATATATCATTCTTTATTTAACCAAACCCCTATTGTTAAACATGAACATTTTTCACAGTTTGACTGTGATGAAAAGTATGGTGATAAGCATCCACACACATGTGTTTTGTGCGCCTGCCTGCCTATTTTGTCAGTTTAAATTCACAGTAGCATAATTGCTAAGTCAAAGCTTATTTTTAGAGCTTTTGGTGCATGTTGCCAAATTCACCTTAAAGGGATTAAACCAATTTAACGCTGTCTGTGACAAGCCTCCTGTCACCACATCCTTACTGGGAATGATCTATTTTTAAAATATGCGATCAGAATATATTAAACGGCCCCAGGCTGCTCCCCTTCCTCGAGGCCCCGTTTGGGCAGTATTTCCTCAGGTGCATGAATTCTCGCTCTGCTCTCCTAGGTCTGGGAAGGGGGAGAATCGCCCTGGCACAGACAGCCGGCGTCCTGAGGAGTCTGGAGCAAGAGGAGCCCTTTGACCTCTCTCAGAAGCGCCGTGTCCAGGGGCCCGTGTTCCAATCAGACGGGGAGAGTGCCCGGGGCAGCCCCTGCCACGAGGAGGAAGAGGAGGACAACTGCTACGAGGTGGCGCCCTGCAGCCCCAGCCTGGCCCCGCAGAGCCAGGCGCTCTGCGCGCCCGAGGATCTGTCCACCAAGCCCGAGCACGCCCCCGAGGTGCTGGAGGAAGCCTGCAAAGAGAAGGAGGAAGTCTCCAAGGAGGAATGGGAGGAGAGGAGCAAGGGCGACCTCGGGCCAGAGGGCGGCCAGGAGAGAGATTGTGCCGGCAGAGAGGAGTGTCTCAGCCTCGGGGCTTTTCCGAGCACCCGGCGGGGCCCCTCTTTTTCCGATTACTTATACTTCAAGCACAGAGATGAGAGTTTGAAAGAATTACTGGAGAGGAAAATGGAAAAACAAGCAATGCTTTTAGGTGTCTAAGTGGACAGTTTTAAAATTACATTTGGAAAATGAGAACGAGGCAGTTCAACTATAGCCTTCTGCATGAACTGTCATTTTCTGGGGACTGGTGAATAGGACCAATCTCTGCAAATGGCTTAGACTAAATGAGCAGGGATGTAGGTAATGTAAAGGCTTCTCAGGTCATTCACCGGGCTGTGATGCCTTTCACACATGTACAGGGTCTTCTTCAGTGGTATTTTATGTATCGCCAGTATAATAAACTGTGCATGTTCTTTTAGATACCTAATTATAAGTTGATGCCGAGGTGCTTTTTAGAATTCTGTTTTCATTTGATTAATATGCAATACATGGTAAATTTCTAATTGCAAAAATATGGTGCTTGAGGTGTCACCTTATGAATAACTGTTTAGGTGAATTCGTGAAGGTTATAATATTTTCCAGATAGATGAAAATATTAGTAGTTGTATATATAAATGTAGCCTTTATTCTATAACCAAGAATGTCAGAAATGGCATGGGAGGATGAGCTATTGAAGAGAATGCTCTCAAGCAGTTGCTGCAGATATAAGGTAAAATTTCAGAAGAATAATTTTTGACTAAGGGAAATGGGCGATACTTAGATTCCTGCTTAGAATACTTAAGATTCTCTTGTTCTGTGTCTGCTGTCTTCGTCAGACTGGGCATTTGGAGCATTTTTTTCAAGATGATCTGATGATGTTCAGAGTCCTGTCTCCTCCGATAAGCCCCCACTTCTTGAGCAGAGCTCCCTCCTGGAGACCATTGCTGTCTGGCTCTGAGGTCTCATGCCCCGGAAGACAGATGCAGGGGTCAGGCGTGGTGATTCATGCCTGTAACCCCAGCACTTTGGTAGTTCGAGGCAGGCGGATCACTTGATGTCAGGCGTTTGAGACCAACCTGGCCAACATGGTGAAGCTCCATCTCTACTGAAAATACAAAAAGTAGCTGGGCATGGTGGCAGGTACCTGTAGTCCCAGCTACTCAGGAGGCTGAGAAAGGAGAATTGCTTGAACCCAGGAGGCAGACGTTGCAGTGAGCTGAGATCGCACCACCTCACTATAACCTAAGTGACAGAATGAGACTCTGCCTCAACAAAAAAAAAAAAAAAAAAGAAAAGAAAAAGGACAAATGCAGAAGAGTTGTCACCAGCTAGCCAGTGAGCAGGGGGCTTTCTCCTCAGAGCTAGGGGTGGAGGGGCGACCCCAGAGAATTATCCTAGGACTCTAAGCTCTGACTTATTTGGGGTACTAGAATAGTTGTGAGCTGATCATTAGTAAAGAAGACTCTGGACTGTGTTCTCAGTGCTGGCTGAACATTAGAATCATCTGGGAGGCCTTTAAAAAAAAAAAAAAAACACCAAACCAAGGCCTCCCCTCTTATGATTCTGATTTAATTGGTCTGGAGTGGAACCCCAGAACTGGATTTTTCCAAATTGCTCCAGGCAATTCTTATGTGCAGCCAATATTGAGAAGATTGAGGGGATTAAAATAGAACTCACCATTTCTGTGACTTCCAGGACGTCTCCCAGGGACTTCATAAGCATTTCTGTTCGTAGCCTCACACTCATTAAGGTTGAGAATGGGAGACTTCACAATCATACTGCAGACTTAGGCCTTCCTCCCTGTCTGTAAGAGCCTTGTAAAGGGACACACACACTCTACACATAGATACATACTTTTTACATTATACTAGAAGATGATGCCTCTAATGTTCATGGTCACTTACTACGTTGAAAAATGCATGACTGGCCTATGGTGACTCCTTATTTCTTCCCAGATGCTTGAACCATGATGCCAGTGAGTGGAAATGGCTCTACTGGGTGGGTTGGGCCCAGCAGGTTGCCTTACGTAGGCACTGGCACTGAGAAAAGCAACACTGACCGGGTGTCGTGTACGTGTGACTGCCCATAAGCAATAACCCTCTGGTACTGTGTCTGTTTATGGGAAAACCTCTTGGTTGGTAGTTTTGACTCTTATTTGTAGAGCCTGGTACTGGTTATTATCGTACTTCATCCTATCCCATGTCCATCTCCAGCTGCTGGGGGCTGGCCTTTTCTGTAGGTCAAGGTGCTGCCCTGTCAGCCCCACCTGGTCATCATCACTCACCCGTGTGTTTTGTCCATCTCTGACCCGTTTCCCCTGCCACCTTGCCTAAAGCTTCTCCTCCCCACCACCATGAAGTGCAAAGGCTACGATGTCCTGCAGTAAGGGCACCTGCAAAGGAGAGGGTGAAGAGAAGGCTGTGGGTTTCTGTGGTTACAAGCACAACTCTGGGTCAAAAAGGGCAAGTCCCTTCCACTCGCTATTAATATAGCTCCTCAGTGCCTCAGATAAAATTGCCCGGGAAGTTGGCAAAGTGGCCTGGGAGGCCTCCAACTCTTAGGGTCCAGTTGCACATTTGTCCACACTGTGGCCATGTGTCGAGGACCTACGCATGTGCTGTGTTTGACCACAGGTGCTGCAGACTGCCCTTTGGGTCTACGGATCCCCGGCTGGAATGGGAACTAGGCAGTTCTAGAGTAACAGGCTCTAGTCCTTTCCACCCAGAACAAACCATGTGGGAATGTTTGAGGGATTCGTTAATGTTGAGATGGACAGAGTATGGTCTAGAATGGTGGTTTTCAGATTGTGTTTAGAGGAGCCAGAGGTGATCTGTAGGCCTCCGAAGAGTGGTTAGCGGAGGAGAAACTCTACTCCCACACCCACCTCACTGCAAGCAGCTCAAGTTCCATCTGATTTATACATTAACATTCTAAGTAAAATTTTATTTGGAGGGAGATAAAAGGTCTAGGAGAAGTAAAAACAATTTGTTACGGAGTGTATTCCAGGGCTTGTTTTTAGTTGTTGACTCTGGGCATAAGACACTTGATCAGATCTAACCTGATGGTTAATACAGCATTAACCTTCTAAGCACGAAGGCTAAAACCTTGGTTTTGTATGCTGTTGAGTGACCAACGTCCCGGATTGCCTGGGATGATCCTAGTTTAGACCTGTTGTCCCAGGATAATTATTCAAGTGTCACTTTAATTCTCAGAAATATTCCATTTTGGGTGAGAAATTACATGGACACCCTATGCATGAGCGCAGAGTTGAGGTAAGGGTTGGCCAACCTTGCCTAATGAGCTGATGAACCAGAAGGCAAGCCTTGAAGGAGAAGGCAAGCCTTCCAAGATTACCAGCACTCCAAAACCAGAATATCACATTGTGAGACTCTGAAAATAGGTTACTACCAAATACTTTCCAGCCTTTTGACCACTGTCACTTTGAACCAATTAATGGACCAGTCAAGTGGCATATTTCTCTTTTATTCTTTTTATTCATTCCTATGATCACTCCTCATGGTGCCTTTCAATTCCTCTTTCATTTTTAAAAATTTGACTCCCCACTGGCCATGAGACTAAGGCTGACCTTTCATAAACCCACAAAAGTAACTGGTATATTTGTATATGAGTAGTTTAGTTGCATGAGAAAGCTCAATGTGCATACTGTATTTATTAAGCCCTGAAGGCATTTAATAAAATATTAACATTGTGTTTTGAATTACGATCTTTGTCTGCTTTGCTGGAACAAAATATAACAGAGCTAACATTTGAAATCGTTCACATATTTGGACAACATTACACCAAATGTTGATTTTGTACAGAACTCTGGCTTGCTATTTAAAAACTAAAACTCTTAAGCATATAGCAGCCCAAGTTGTGAATATTGCTTCGTGTTTCACTGAAAAAGCAGTTTACCTGAAAAGAGCATGTAACCTATATTTTGTTAATTTAAGCGAATAAAGACATGTTGAAAAAGCTGAGTTAATTATTTGCAGATACCTGAAATTTTGCAGGGAAGCTGCCATTGTCAATATCTCACTCCTGCCATTATGCACTCTGCCAGGGTAGCTCCCAGTGCCTGGCTCCTCAGCCCCAGGGATACAAGTGTGTTGGACTCTCCCTCCCTCAGGGCTTCAGAAAGAGATGAATGAATCCCAATCTATCTGCAGGAAGGTGACATCTTCCTCATCCTGTTGCTCTTTCCTAGTCAGAAAAAAAAAAAATTATTCTGGAAGGGTGTTACAGGCAAGTGAGAGGTGAAGGCAGGATTGTCTCATTCTGACTCACATTCTTTGTAAAATAAAGTTCAACAAAGAGACAGTCGATGCCATAAGCAAAAGCTCCAATCTGCTCCCAGGTGGCCTGTGTTCAGAGCCCAGCTCTTCCGCTTCCAATCTTTGAGAACCACAACCCGTTCGTTCATGAACTACTTTGTGCCTCATTTCCTTATCTGTAGGATGGGACTAGGAACTCTACCTTTTCCCCTGGGTTGTTGAAATGACTTAAAACATGCAAGACACTTGGAATGTGCTGGATTCACAGTGATGCTGTGTTAAGAATTAGGCACTGTGAGGCCGGGCGCGGTGGCTCACGCCTGTATTCCCAGCACTGTGGGAGGCCTAGGTGGGCAGATCACGAGGTCAGAGATTGAGACCATCCTGGCCAACATGATGAAACCCCATCTCTACTGAAAACGCAAAAAATTAGCTGGACATGGTGCCGTGTGCCTGTAGACCCAGCTACACAGGAGGCCGAGGCAAGAGAATCACTTGAACCTGGGAGGCGGAGGTTGCAGTGAGCCGAGATCGCACCACTGCACTCCAGCCTGGCAACCAAACAAGACTCCATCTCAAAAACAAAAAAACAAAAAAAACAAAACAAAAAAAAAACCCAACAAACAAACAAACAAACAAAAACTAATTAGGCACTGTGATTGTCAACAGTGTGGCCAGAAAACTGAGCAATCAGCTTTTCATCCTCAACGGAAACGTCACAAAGTTGTGTCAGCATGGGGGACTGTACATTCTTGGGGAACTTCCCTTTAAAACAGCAAAACGGCAGCACATATTGAACACTGTGATATGCCAAGCACTGTGCCAGGTGGTTTACATACTCGCACACATTCTCCCCATTTTATCAATGAGGAAATGGAACTTCAGGAGAGTGAAATAACTCACCCCAAATTACCTAGTTAGCAAGTTTCTCTGCCTATAGCATGCTGGATTCTCTGGAAGCAGTGCTGAGACACATTTGAATGGAAGCTACTTATTAAGGATGAAAACCAGTAAAAAGAAGGAAGAAGAAAGAAAGATTGAGCAGAGGGAGAAAGCAACTTGCAGTGCAGCCCTAACAAAGCCTCAGCAAGTGTGGTGGGCAGCTCTGGGTCAGATGTTGCCCATCAGAGTTGTGCCAGTGTGAACAAAAATGTCCATTTCTCTACACCCCTGCCTGGCTCAGCACCAGATGTGGGCTTCCCTGGAACGGCGTGACTCTCTGCAGCTGGGGCAGGCCTTGAAGAAGCTGGCAGCTGGAGGCTGTCTGCCAACCACACTCTCATAGCTCCACAGCTCAGGTACAAGTGCTTCCTTGGAGAGACTGGATGACTCATCTCTGCCTCGCCCCAGTCCGCTTATGCATGCATATTCATGAAGCATCTCCTGCAGATTCCAGTAGGCTTCTCCTCCTGAACGAAAACTTAGAAGAGAAGGTGAGCACAAATTTCAGCCCCCACAGCTGCAGCGAGTCGAGGGACCAAAACTGATACTGTTTTTTCTCTTCCTGCATTACTCAGTCTAGATTCCCCTCACCATCAAATACCCAAATGTCCATTCCTCTACACACTGGTAGTCTCGGTGACTTTCCTAGTGATTTCCTCTAGGTCCTTATCTGCAAGAGATCGGAGCCCCTGTCACCATGCTGCTATGGACTGAATGTTTGTGTCCCTCCAAAATTCATATCTTGAAACCATAATCCCCAGTGTGATAGTGTTTGGAGGTAGGGTCTTTAGGAGGCAATTAGGTTTGGATTGAGTTATGTGTGGGGCCCTCATGATGTGATCAGTGCCCTTAGAAGAAGAGGAGGAGACTAGGCCTTCTCTCTCTCCCATGTGAAGATGTAGCAAGGTAGCTGTCTGCAAACCAGGAGCGGAGCCCTCGCCAGACACTGAATCTGCCTGCACCTTGATCTGCACGTCCCAGCCTCCAGAACTGTGAGAGCTAGATGTTTGTTGTTTTAACCACCCAGTCTATAGTGTTTTGTTATAGCAGCTCAG